TTAACAAATAAAACTAGTAAATTTAGTTAATTAAATATAAAAAGGGGAAATGCAGTGATATTATGCATAAGATAAAATCTAGTGAAATCTAATTTCAGAAAATATCTTAGTACCTATACAGATAAGAGTGGAAATGTTTAACAATTAATTAAATTACCAGAGAAATTTCCAAGTAAATGCTTTCATTTTTGGATCAAGCTCAAGTTTCAGAGGCATTGTTAATCTAAACCATTTAAGATGATTTTGGCAAGCAGACTGTGGTTAGGAGACAGGGTTGGGAAAGACTAGTAGCTACAAAATGTTCCGCCACTACCAGGAAGTTGGACTTACTAGAATTTTGCCTGACATTTCTAATAGGCCTGTGAGGAGCATGGGGATTAAGCTGCCTGATTGCAAGGTATGTGCAAATCTAAGCCTTTAAATGAACCAATGAATAAACCCTAAGTTGAGTATATGAACATTTGGGTTTGGATCATAATTAAATTTCTTTGAAACGCTCTGTAATCAATGTTCTTGAAAAGCTCCTTTTACATGTATGTAATGGAATGTGGCATTTTTGAAGTTAACTTGAATGTAGTCCTGGGGAGTGGGGTTCAAGGAATTCTGGATTTGTGTAAATGTAGTAAACAAACTGGCAAGAAAAAATATTGGAGAATGCAATGGAAACATTTGAAGTAACAAATATAGACATTTGAAGGACAGTGTCATAGAAAGTTTTAAAGAAAAAAGGTGACCAAATAACAAAGAGGCTATATAAGAATGATTACACAAATTGAAATTATTAGTACATTTTCTAGAGTCTTGCATGATTCCAAGGAATAAAATCCCAAGAGTAGGCAACTGTATCACAATGAGAAACCTAGATGGTAATTTGATCCATTTGGTTACACACACACACAGAACTACGGTAATTAAAAGAACAGCAACTGGGCCCTCCCTGGTGGCGCAGCGGGTTAAAGCACAGCACTGAGAATCTAAAGCCGCTTCCGCATGAGTTCGATTCCCACCTGTCCCGGAGGTGACCACATGGTGTGGCAGACCTCTCCTGACCCGCCCGCTGCTCCCCTCAGCAGTGTACCTCATGGATCTGCCTGTTCTGCTCCCCACTCTGTCTCTGGTGAATCCTCTCACTGTCCCTGCACCTCTGGCCTGTACCCCAGTTCTGTGTACGTAAATAAATAAATCTTTTTTTTTTTTTTAAAGAGTACTGGGACAGTACACAGTCTTAAAAGATGACCCAAAAGCAGCTGTTATTTACTGTTAGTTCATCCTCGCTGATGCCTCACGATCTGAGTTCTTCCTTTTCTTCCAGACACTCCATTCTCAGAGGGTTGGCAGTTTCCTCATGACAACAAGACAGCTGCTGTAGGTCAGGCACCATGTCCTCACAGAAACACCCTCCAAACAAGAACAGGAATAAAGGAAGCCAAACCTTTCTCATTCTGCTGCTTTTGATCCTGGGAAGGAAGACCCCCTCTCACTCATTGTCAGCCAGAAATGGGCCCCATTCCTAGCCTCAACCAATGATTCCTGGCCAAGGGGAATGGGAATGGGCTTTTTTTTTTTTTTTAGGTTATTTCTGCATACAGAACTGGGGTACAGGTCAGAGGTGCAGGGGCAGTGAGAGGATTCACCAGAGACAGAGTGGGGAGCGGAATAGGCAGATCGAGGAAATACACTGCTGAGGGGAGCAGTGGGTGGGTCAGGAGAGGTCTGCCACACTACTCGGGTCACTTCCGGGGCCGAGAATTGAACTTATGCTGAAGTGGCTGCTGCCTGATTCACAGTGCTGCACTTTAACAACCTGTTGTGCCACAGAGGTCATGGGGTAGTTAGAAGAAAGTGTCAGTGTGATCCGCTTCATCTTTTGAAAAGAGAAATTCTCTCCCAGGATTTCCTCCCTCCCATCTCCTTCTGGGACCACTCCTTGCCCAAGTACCTGCAGGACCACTTGCCACCACCCCCTGCCACCCCCCTTCTCTCATGTCGACGGTGGTGGGACTCAGTATTGGTTTTCTCTTCCATGTGAAGTGGGCCTGGGGTTCTAGAAAATGATATATGAGCGACTAGCTGGATCCAGCCTTCACAATCCCATGGTCAGCTCCTGTTGTATCTGGCTCTGTCTTTTGAACGCAACGATCAAGAGGTTGTTTTCATTGATTTTCTAGCAACTTTCATTCTAAACAGTAGCTCCTCTCCATAGAAAGTGAGATGTGTTCACGTGTCTCGGAGCCTGTATTATCTCAGCACTGGCAAAATAAACCACGTCATGGCATGGGCTGATTTATGCCCTCCACGCTTAATCTTAGCCTAAAGGCCACGAGGCGATGACTTATGTCCTCTAAAATGCATGCTGAAGTTCTAGCCTCAGTAGCTTGTAACTGCACACTGAAATAGGGCTTTAAAGAGGTGATGAAGTTGAAGTTAGTTCATCGGGGTGGGCTGGTCCTTCAGAGAAGAGGAAACGCAGACACAGACACGCAGAGGTAGACCACATGAGAGCCAGAGAGGACAGCCGGCCGTCCACAAGCCAAGGAGCGACGCTTCAGAGGAAGCCCAAGCTGCTCCTGTCAGACTTGTGACCTCCAGAACTGTGAGAGGATGATTTTCAGCTGCTTTTTTTTTTTATATATATATGTCCCCTCACAAGTTTATTAAAGAAAAGAGAAAAAGGAAAAAAAAGAGAAGCTGACATAAACACAGGTAGGCAGTCCAGAAAGACCAGACTTACCCATTTCAGTTATTATTTTTCTTAAAGATTTATTTATTTATGCATACAGAACTGGGGTACAGG